TGTTACCGGAATTCGACCGTTACATGACTCCGGGAAGGATCATGGAGTTGTTGTGCGAAATGCCGTCTGGTCCCCACAACACAGTGAAAGAGCAGATTTTGAGCTGGCTGGGACACTTAGACATGCGTCGCGAGAACACAGTACATCATCACCACATGCGCGAAGGCATCAACTTCCTCATCAAGCATTGTGGCGACCTGAAGATCTTCGACGAGATTCGGACGGAAGAAGGATGAGGGTTTGTCCCGCTTGCTACAACATTGTTCCTGCATGCTTCACCCGGTGCACGTCGTACTGGTCATTGTTCATCTCCTGTGATCACTATCAGGGTACGCCACAAAGGGAGCCTCCTTCGGAGATCCCTAGTGAGTCTATTGCCCAGACAATGGAAGCTGCAGCCGCAGCTGTCCCGGCCGCAACCGAAGAAGAACAAGAAGCAATGGAGACAGAAACAGCTGCAGAACCAGAGGGACCTCCAGATGCTGACGAAGGAGAAGGAGAAGATGCTCATGTTTCAGGGGCCGAACAAGAACCAGATGCCGAGATGATTGACGATGAAGAGGAGGCTGAATTTGACGACGAGGTGCCTGCAAATGTGGCTGAAGAACGTCGGTTAATTCACATCCCCGGACAATCGTTGAACATTGATCCTGAGCTCCAGATCGCTCGCACGGCTATGCAACCGCCCTACTACAACATCAGAGGGTCTGCTTGCTGCATTGACGCGAACAGAGCATCTCTCTCCTACATGGCTTACATCGTGTGCCGAACCATCTACAAATCGTGGCCCGGAATGTCAAGATGGCTTACCGTGCCAATGTTTCAAAAAACAAGAGTCATTCGGACAAGGTCAGCGTTATGATGTGCTTGGTTCATGGGATGAATTGGCTGAACTCGACCCTGACACTAAAGTCAGCAAGGATTTGACTGATGAAGAACTTCTTCGTTACGCTAGGGGAAGAGAAGAGGCTGACGACCCTAACGGCACCTACACCCTCAAGCGCTTCCGAACAAACCAATTGGTTTCATCATTGATTCGAGGATCGATTCAGATGGGAATCGGCAGAGATGTCTTCAACCCTGCTACCTACATGAAGCGGGAGAATGACCCGAACGTACTCTGCGAGATTATCCCCAAGATCACAGGACGTATGCAGTTTTCTCTCATTCGACCTACTCCGACTGGACCAGTGGAATTTCTTTACGTCGACCCCGTGGGTATCCTCATGATGCAGAGCACAAGGGACAATTCGTCGCAGACGATCGCGGTGCTCATCGACCACAACATCTAGATGCCAGCGAAGTTTTTCGACAAGCTTACATCGAGCAAGCTCGAGAAGGAGAGGAATCCGAATGCTCCACGTTCTGCACTACAACACATCTCAGCATCCGAATACCTTCCTCGCGGACAAACGTCCATCATGGATACTTCGGTTACAGCTGAAGAAAGTGAGCGTGTTGCAGGTCCCAATGCTGCTCTCAAAGCTTCTACCGGTGAACGAGATCAACGGTGGAGAGGATGGAATGCCAACTCCTACCACGACTCAAAGGGCAAAAACAGAAGGAAAGGGAAATCCAAGAACCCTGAGGACAACCTCCGGCCATGGGAACGTGATCCTGCACGCACTCGTCAATGGCTGCGGGACAACATGTAAGCTGCAACAACGTTGCTATCGTGACCTCGGCAATATGATCGTGATCTTTATCGCGAATGCTTTTTCTTCGGTGACGCTTGATTCCGTATGACGTTACTGACGTAGATGAGTGTCACGCCGTTTTTAAATTGGGATACAAGGCTCTAGTTCCAAACCTTTCAAAAGTTGCGGCGGATCAATCCCTAGTATTTCCAATCGGGCCATCTTCCGGGTGAGCAGTGTCGGAGACACAACTCATGGGGGGTGCGAACGGACTGCGATACCCAGTCAAGTTCTGTGGTGTCACGATAAGAGCTATGAGTGACTGTACTTGTATAGGTCCAGAGTGGAGGCACGCTACGCGTACTCCATCCCCAGGTGTTTGCCTGTGGGCATGCTTCGCATACCACAGAGCTGCACCAATTACCATATGCCGCCAACGCAACTTTGGCTCAAGAACGAGCACAAGCTTAAGATATCGATGCCAATAGCTTAAAATAGCTTATTGTCTTCTGTGACCTTTCTGAGGAACAGAGCCATCCCGAGCACAGACGATTCATCGCCGATCACAAAGGTGAAAACAAGCGAGCTCTGAATCTGCCTGCCAGGGATAAGGGTCTGAACGTGGACGTGAAGGTGACAGAGAATAGAGTCTGTTGAAGGGCAACCACACTCTTATTCAATAGCTCGGTGGGGTGAGCGACATCAAGATCAAATCCCCACGCATTGAATACCGTTGTACTAATGGTGGCTTTTCAGGAGCAAAAAGCGCGCGGCAAAAAAAACAGATGCGGCACTACAACAAATGGCGCGGCTACAGCGCTATGTGAGGCCCGGTCGCACAGAGTTCGGTTTGTGGGATTGTGGTTTGTGTTTTAGGGCTGGAATTGCGTGCGCTCCGCCTTCCATAACAGCCCTTAGAAGCTCCAACAGGGGAAGTCCGCCGACCCATCAGCATTCCTGACAAGCAGAACTGATCGGGTGGTGCGCTAAAAGCTCAAAACCTTTTTCCCGTCCAGGCACAGCTGTCAACAAAACCATTGTTGGCATGTGTCCAGGGGCTCGTTAACCCTTGAGCAGCTACTATACTATTTCGTTGGGAGCGGTGGATCTTTTACATGCACATGTCTTGCGACGGTCTCTGGAGTTCTGCAAGTGTTTGCCGTGAACCGCTCTTGAACACCCGGTGTTCCCCAGACCTTTGATTGATAGACCTGACGTTGGTGCCCCGCGTTGCAGTGCTGTGTACATCAACGTATATGGAAGCAGTCTTTGATGCGATTGCCCTGCTTCTGCCCTGCACACGTGCTAGGAGACATGTGTCGCATGTCGGTGAAGTCGCATGCGATTGACTACACCGTGATTTTGGTGAACATCACCGGTTGCTTGGCTCACTGGGCACGTGCTTCATGCTGTAGCGCGAAAACTTACGGCCAACAAGAAGATCCTTGCATCCGACATCCCTGACTGGTCAGTGCTGATACTCGGAGTGTGTCACGACGCATTTGCATTGCTTTCTGCCCATTTTCGACCTAATCACCAATCCAAGTAGGATTCTCCTAGCGGTCTCGATCGCTTATCTAAGGCGGGCCCCTGCGCATCAAGGATGCCCCATGAAACCACGGCCTTGCATGTTGTATGCTGGAAGGGGGTCGCGGACTTTGGCCTCATGCGACTCATGCGACAACTTGCATAGCTTTGGGGCACATCAGTATTTTCAAGTTGTAGGTCCCAGATTGCGGGTGTGACAACGTCTCCTGCGCCCTTCAACAGCACCGCTAACTCCAGTAGTTAATTCGATGGGAGATTCAGCTGCTCTACAGTCTTTGATGTTGGCTCACAATACCCTGCCGAGCTTTGTTCTTGAACCTGCAACCCTTGGTGGAGTGAAGCAGTTATACTTGAATCTCGATAATTTCGAAGAAAGGGGTATGCCTTTACCACGCCGAAGCATCTAGTTTGCACACTGGCGTTGTTGATTCGGGCACGGGTCTGGACATGCAAAAGCGGAGGCCTTAAAGGTGCATCATTGGAGACAGAGCCTCTTGCATGTTTCATTGCATTCTGTCCGCACTGGTCAGAGTATTCGTGCCCTCAGTTCCACGGTTCTGATGCGCAGCGCCTATCCTAAAGAGCGACTGTGCATTTGCAGAGGGTCCAGTGGCGAAGGGTGAGCGCTCCGCTGCGACCCAGAGTTTCAATTAGTCTAGATCAAGCGCTGACGATCGAAGTCCTACCGGCCGCCGGCGCATGAGCTCGAGAGGAGGAAGCGGGACGGCCGGGACGGTATGGGACTTCGGACACTCAGTGCAGAAAGACTGTGCTGACAACCCCCATGGGGCGGGTCGGCGCGATCCCCGGTGCAGCAAAAGAGCGCCAGCTTGGTTTCCAGACGTCTTACGGTGTTGAGACGACCAAGATCGACCAAGGCATGTCATCCCACTGCCATGCTTCTGCTTCGCCCATTCTGGTTACAACCTGTCGAAGATAGCGAGTGCTCCAGCGTGGTGCGCAGATTGTGCCAGGTTCTGCTCGATGTGCTTCGCTTCGCCGATACTCTGCGACTTTAAACCGAGGTCTCGGCAGCCGCGGCTCGACTTCCAAGGCGCTACGGGCTGCGGGGCTCTGCGGTACTCTCTGGTTCTCTGTGTCTGCGGTGATGGTATTCGTAGAGGTTTCTGGAAGACAGGGATTTAGGAAGCTAAGCGGCAGCGGTGATGCAAGTGTGGCATGGGGGCGACATCTCAAAACTTTTCAAGCAGCTTGAGGGTTCTCTGAGGTCGGAGGTGGTGAAATCCCTAGCAAATGCTTTGGTGAGCTGACTCGGAGCTTATCCCAGGCTGACAAAGGGCACGAGCTTTTCCTGACTGACTTGGCCACAGGTGGAGATTTGTGTTTGAGCTTCGCCACCTGGGGTCGTAGCATTCGTGATCGACCTGGCTAGTGCTTTCTTGCGAACATCGCGAGGGCTTGCGTGCTGCTGTGACTGCTGAGCAAAAATGGCCACGATGACCGCATGTCCACAGAGGCAAGTGTAGGCTGAAGGCGGAAGGTTCGCACCTTTGCCGACGCCGTTTGGCAGTAGGCCGAGGATCAAGCGCTTGAAAGTAGCTAGACCTCCATAAGCTTACCGCAGACACCGCGGCTTGAGCACTGCCAAACGTCCCATGATTGACTAGGCCAAGGATCAAGGGCTTGAAAGTAGCTAGACCTCCATAAGCTTACCGCAGACACCGCGGCTTGAGCAGTCAATCATGGGATTCGGAGGCTTGAAAGGGAGCAGCGGGTGCAAAAATGTGTGATTATTTTTGGACTCTTGCCTAAATCAATGGCACAGGCAACGCTTGGTGGGACTGGACGCCGCCGATGATGTGGTTTATGGGCTTTGGCCAGGGCAAAGGCTTCGGTCGCCGCCGCGATCCTTGGAGCCTTGTCGGAGCCGGATTCAGAGTTGCTGCTAGCGTACGCATGGCGCCGCATAGATGTGCGTGGAGCGCCCAGCCGTGAGGATTGAGCCTGAGATGAAGTCTTGGGCTCGGATCTGACTTTGTGAGCTTCGTTGGCTGCGTCCTGCACTGGGCGCTTGCATTGGCTTGCAGGATCTGGATTGGCAACCTGCCCGTGGATGCTACCTGGAAGGATCTGCAGACCTTGGGAAACACTGCGGGTGCCACCCGCTGGGTGGAGGTCTTCCGTGGGAAAGGCAGGATCCACGAGATAATGCAACGTATAGGAATTCAAGGTCATTGAAAGTCCTGGAGCACAGGCAGCAAGGGCACGGGCATGATTGCCTACAAGTCGGCAGAGGAGGAGCAATCTCGAATTTGCTCAGCCTGTCCCCATGCTAACCCTGAGCTCTTCGGCAGGTGGCTGCTGCCGTGCAATCTCTACAAGGCAAGATGATCAATGGCCAAGCGATCCAGGCGAGTACTGTGACGGTCTCACACGAACGTAGTTTACCCCTACGGGTAGCGCTTTGAACTCAACGTGCAGGTTGATTCCTGGCAGAAGGCTCCGCCAGCTCCGCATGCGGTGGAGTTGCAGCGACAGGCCAAGCAAACACGACTACTCTCAACTGTTCAGGCTGAGCAAAATAGATATCATCACGGCCAAGCTTTGCAGAGTTTTGTTTGTCGGCTTCAGGCTCGTTTTCCAAGCTTCTTTTCAGTGAGGCACCCAAGTTGGGCGCATAGGCTCGAGTACGTAGCACAGACGACCTCCTGGCATTTTGTACACACTCCCCTCTTCTTGCGTGCTGAGGTTTCGCATGGTTTCCTTCTTCCACTCCTTCGGAATTTTGTCTCGAGTGTTTTGCTCGGTGTCTACTGCCTACGTGTGTTGAGACGTTGTGTTGGATGGGTTGTTCTTTGCGCTTGGTTTTGGATGCTGTGCCTTGCCGTGCAAGTTGCGGATGGTTCACCTGACTCTGCTTCTTGGATGTTTGGTGCAACGCACTTCAGTGTCAGATGTGAACTCCCTTCGGATGAATTGTTCGATCTTGTGAGCGGGTATATCGTGTGATCTCTGCTGCAAGAGCTCTACGATCTTCGCTTTGTTTACATCGAAGCTCTTCGCCTGCAGTAGAACATCATCTCTTTCAATGAATTTCTCCTGGCCGAGATGTGAGCACAGTTTCGTTGGGCAGCACTTGCGTCCGATTTGCGCCGCATCCGGCTCGTCCTGTGCAGCAACCACATACTGTGGAATACGTCTTCTGCATGGGATGTCGCATGGTCGCAATGCATAACGAAGCACAGGAGCAGCTGCTGGCAGCGGAGTTGGCCAAGCATCTTGTCTGCATCGGCAGAAGCATCGGGGAGACTCGGAACTTCACTCCCTCATCAGGCCCTGAACGGAACATGTCCAGGCCATTCCAGGCCTCCAGACAGGCAGCAAAGAGGAGCCTGAAGCCGAATCCACGCAAAGCGTTGATGCTAAGGCATCAATTCGTAAGTCCCCTTGTGCATACAACGGAAAGCCGTGCTTGTCTGCCCTGAAACAACCCCTGTCAATGTTCGGAGCCGTGAGAGCGACGGCAATCAGGTGGTTGGGAGCATTTTCTGGTGCATTATGCTACTGACATGCGCATAAACTCGCTGCTGCCCTTGGGGGGATCAGTTGGCATAGAGCTTCAACAGTCAGTGAGTTTGTCGGATATAGCCATCGCATGTGGAGAAAGCCATCCACCAGACAGGCGGGAGTCCGACGAGACGTGTGCAGCGTGCATGGCACGGCTGGCAGCACTGGAATCAGAGGCCCGTGGTAGCTTGGGCAGACGGGAGATGAATAGGGCCTATTTTATGCATGTTTGCAGTGATGATGTTGGCGGTAGCACTGACGAGTGGGGCTGAGGCGACCATATTCTGGCAGCAAAGTAAGATTCTGCGCAAGTGCGAGTCGCACTGGGCAGCTGCGATTCATGGTTGAAGCTTCTTGCTGCAGGTGCCGGAGTTGCGTGGCAAACTAGCTGAGCTTGAGGCCGTCTGCGCGTATGCCACATGGCTGGTGCAGTGAGTCTCGAAACACAATGGATGATTGCGAAGGCCATGCGAAATTCCGCCCTCAAAGCAACAGAAGAAGTTGAGCAACGCATGCATGCGCAGGATTATCCATGGTCCATGCTGGCTGTGTTTCTCATCTCTTGGCAAGCCAACATTTTGGAGTTCCCAGGTGTAGCGTTAATGACGAAAGCTAGCACCACACTAGTCGTTCTCGGGTCGACAGACACTTTTGGGACCACAGGTTCTGTATTTTCTGTCTGGGATTAGGAGTTTTTTTCGTCTGAAGTGAGGCTGATATATCAGGGCACCCGTTTTCAAAATTTGAAACCGGAAACAGCTGGGCCCCTTGAAGGTTTTAGAGGCTTCGGGGAGCTGGGGTCAGGGTGAAGGGCGTGGGCACTGTGGGTTGGGCTTCCTGGGGAATGCATGGCTTTCTGAATGGGACTATGCCTGAGTGTCCGAGCAACAGTCCTTGGTGGAAGTCTCGCCTTTGTGTTGGCCGGATGAACTGTGAACTCCCCTGTTCTTGAAGCATTTGAAGCCTTGCCAAAACTGCCCTTTTGTGTTGGGAGTGCCGTGACCCTGCGTTCGATGTGAAAATCCTTGCTTTGGATTCCTCGCATGACCGTCCTTGTCAGTCGGATGTCCCGTTCAACTCCCCTCATTCTGCGGTGGTAGCCTGGCCCATCCTGGCCGGGCGTTCTGCTGAGAGGTTGCGGAGGCCACGGCCACAGGGCAGCGCCGCAAGCTCAGCAGAGGAGTCTGTGAGCTCCTAGGGTCCTGGAAGCCTGTGAGTTGAGTGCATGCCAAGGGTTCGTACACAACGGGAATCTCAAAGCAAGGTCGAAAGAGTTTGAGTAACACCACCATCGCTACTGGCGGCGGAAGCCCGGCGCCCAGGTAATGGGATCTTGTATGTTTTGCGTTGCAGTTTGCCTGTTCCCAGTGGGAGTTATACTTGTAGCTAGTGTTGCACATATTATCGTGGGTTCGTCCTGCCAGGTGCGAGGCAAAAAACGGTACACAAATTCGATCATATTGCCGGTTATATATTGCATCTTCTGCTCTGTGTTCCATTTACATGGCTTAGAGGTATGTTGCGTACTGCAGTGCGCGCCATGTGTTACACGTGCAACATGTAGTATTTGCAGCGTTTGATTTATTTGGCATATTGGGAAGCAGTGATGCTGATGAGCCGCAGCGTGCAGGAGCTGCCTCGACTGGCTCCGTCTCCTTTGGAGGAGTGCGGCCTTTGCAAGGTGCTGTGGCGGTCTTGCGACTATCATCCGCAGGAGGCTCCTCAAGCTCCGCAGCATCGCACCTCGCGGGCTGAGCCCTCAGATGGACAACGCACAGATGCAGGCTACACCAGTGGCCCCAGCGCCGCCAGTCTTTTTTCCGAGGTCCTGCTTACCATGCTGTGTTTTATGTGTTGTATCTTGTACTGTATAGTCTATAAGACCAAATGAGCAACTCGATGATGTCATCACAGTTCTTTGCCGGATGCAGGTGGGTTCCACAATACTAGTCATCATAGTTCTTACTGCTGCTAGTCGCCGGGTTGCTTGCAATCAAGATGGATTCGTACTGCTGCGTTTCCTGTCGATGCTGCTTCGGTCGATGTGTTTCTCCTCATGGAACTGGCTAACGTAGGGCCCCTGCAGCTTCTAGAATCGTGCAGTGGAGGCTTGCTAGTCTGTCCTGCGCACAACTCCATCGGCTCATAGGCAGTGATCCTGCATGGGGGGTAGGGGCAGGCTGCGTCCTCGGCATGAGCTCCGCAGTCACACCAGTGTTTGTGCCCTCCTTGTAGTGCCGGCATCTCTTCGTGATGCTCAGCAGCTCGGCCCCGAGAAGCCTCCAGCTGCGAGGCTCGGGCTCCGGCCAATCGGGCGCTTCTGGTGGCCGGAGACCGAGTTCAGGATTGGAGAAGCAGAGACACCAGTGGCCTTAGCTGGAGTGAATCTTACAGCGGGGTGCACAATGGTTCTGGTGCCTGTAACCTTTTTGCTGCCGTTGATCGTTTTTCCTCGAGCGCTATGAGACTTATCACGCTGGCGGCTTCTGGTTCTTGCACGCGACCGTTTTTTGCCATGAGACTTACGACTGTGGTTGTGGTGGCGTCCTCGTCGTCCTTGGCACTGCCATCTTCGTTGCCTTTCCTCTCGCTGCTGCCGCCGCTGCTCCTGCCGCTGCCGCTGCCATTCAGGAGTGCACATCCGCTGTTCAATGTCGTTTGTGTTGCTCATATTGCTCATCATCTGTTGTGTTTCAGCCAGACCGCGTGCTGTCACCGGAGGTGCACCAGCCTCTGCTGGGTGGGGCCTCGGGACAGGCCGGTCGCTAACGGCGGTGCCATGGATGTGAGTCATAGCCACGGAAATCAGAATGTTCCAGATGCCGAAACTTGGGGTGCACGGCAGGCTCCGGCGTCATTCCACTAGTATCGTACTGGAGACTGCTATGGCTGTTGTTGCTGAACAGCTTGGCAAGGAGCGTTCGCTGGCTCGGGCCTGTCCGGAGCGTTCGGCAGCCGTGCGGCGCCCAGTGAGAAAATTTTGTGGTATCTGAAGATGCTGATGAGTGGCGTTCGTGAGGTGCCTCCTCTGGCTCGGGTTTGTTTGGAGGAGCGTTCGTGCCGCAACATTGCAGAACACGCGAGGTGCGAACAAGTCTGTGGCTTGCGAGCGTCGAACCTCGGAATCCGCAGGAGGGTCCTCTAGCTCAACTTCCTCGCCGTTCGAATCGGGCTGGACGCTCAGCAACGAGTCGATGCAGGCCATCCGCTTCCCGAGCACCGGCACTGGACAGGCAGGAAACTGATTTATCGCGTGCGCTTTGAACTTTCAGCTTCTGGTTTCTCAGCTCCAGTCGGTAAGGACACCTGCTGACAGAGCGGAAAGCGCTGGCTAAAGAGGTTCGAAGAGTCAAATGACGGTAAGTCAGGGCGAAGACAGATCATGTCTGATTTTTCTGGCAATTCGCAGGAGCGAAAGGCCCAAGCTAGAGCGCTTGTACAGGAAGCAGTGTGGGGCTGTCGCCTCAGTGCTCACCTCAATTCACATTCTGAGGGTGACGTTCTTAAGCCATTTATGCAGGTCGCCACATGCAGCGCCTGAGAGAAGCAATCGCAGCCCGGCACCTAGAGCTGTTGCATGTGCTCAAAGCTGCCATGCACGCCGTGAGAACGCAATAGTACCAGCTTTGTGGCGTCGGAGGCCACGCTCCGCACCTTTTGTGCGAGACATCCCGTTCCAAGGATGGGGAGAAAGCCAGCTTGCAACAGGAGGACGTGGGGAGGATGGCTTGCAAGCAAGGACTTCCAGATCAACCTGAAACCTTCAGGAGCTCGCCATTGCACGGCAGGTCTTGGCCGAAGAGGAGCGGAAGGACCGGGAAACTTGCCAACTTATCATTCCATGCCGGTGCTTATCGCTTGATTCCGCTGGGTGAGCCGGATAGACAGTTCCTGATAATTTCACAATAAGCTGTTGCCCTGGTGAGAGGCTCGTGCAAAGACCCGCTTCCACGAGGCGAGCCGACTCGCCACATCTCTCCACATTTTGTACATTGGCAAAGAGTTTGCAAGCTTGCCTTGTGAGTAGAGCTGCGTTCGTAATCGCCACGGTCTTAGCGTTTCGACGTCAAACACGTGCAATGGTTCTGACGACGGGCGTGCCCGAAACCCCAGACCCGAAGCCTTAACCTCAGCTCTAAACCTTTGTTTGATGGAGGATACACAGGCAGAGCCGGTCTCCTTCCTTACCCTGTTGCAGAAGGAGACTGTTTGTCCAAACGCTCAATCCTGTTGATGGAGCCCGGGCATGGTCGGTACCCGCTGTTTGAGGTGACTTCGATGCTGACGGTTTAGGGAGTCAGGCCGCAGGGCACGGCGCGACGGCACGTTGAGCCATCCTTCAACAAGATACCCGTGTCCATTGCGCAAAGAAGCCTTGGTCACAAGCCATAGAACTCCAAGCAACACTGAATCCGGACACCCAAGCCTTAACATCTTGCTTTATGGACCCCCCCAAATTGAAGCTCCCCGAAGGAGATCGCTTCCCGAACATCCCGCAGAGGGCGCAGCCGCAGCCCCTGCTGGCCACAGCCCCGGGGATCTCGGGGAGTTGTGTTCAGTTGAGGGACTTCTGATCTGCACCGTGTCTCAGATTCAGGAACCTGCGGAAGCGCATTGGCCGCTCCGTCATGCCCAGGCGGGTGACAAGGCACTCCGTCTCGTGCGCGCAGCGCTGCCATGCAGGACGACGCCCTTGCTCTACGTGGAGTTGGCGTGCTGGGAGGAGGACGAGCGCGGCCGCTGCGAGGACTGACCGATAGATTTCGCAGTTGATGGGTCTTCAGTGTGTCTTCTGACCGGCATCAACTTCGCTGCTATCACCCAAAAAACAAGTGCTTTTCTACCATCATTGCAGCAGTATTGCAGTCGCGTGCTCCCGAACATGACTGTCACGGCGGCTGTTGCTGTTGGATTGCTGTCGCGCCTTTGAGCTCCATCACGTCTCGGGTAGCGCCTAATTTAGACCATCGGATGTAGCACACTCTGGGGGAGTACTTCTGTGTTTGCTTCGTCCAGATTGATAGTAATGATTATATACAAAAACAGAAAGCGTCACCCTGGAGGCCTGGTTTTGTGTGGTTCAAAAATATAGGTAAGAATAGCTGTTTTGCTCAAGAAAAGCAGGCCTCCACAGCGACATACACTCTAAAAATCATAGTAGCCCGTATCGCTAGTATCCTCAGCAACCGCAGTGTCAGCAGCACTGACAGGCTTTCCGTCATCATGAATACTGGAGGATTTTCGCATTGCATGTGCCGTGCCCTTCGTAGCTAGGAACCCCATTTGCCCAGAATCCTGGAAGCCCAAGCCGAAACCCTTACAAGCTTGATCCCAGCTGCGCGAAAACCTCGTGCATCGTAGGTTTCGTGTTGGAGCTATGTGATTAGAGGCTGATGGCCGGCAGCACGATAGTTGTCAACGCGACGCAAAATTGTCCCTTCAACCCCGAAGCCGAAACGTCAAACCGACATCCAAATTCAAACGTCGCTTACATGCGCCTTGCAGAGGACTACGACTCTGACTCTGACAGCATGGAGGCCGTGCTGTCTTGCCGGCCTCTTGCCGCCCTCATGGATGCATGTTTGTGCAGGACTGGAAGTAACTTCGGTGCTCGAGAACTTGATGGCAGGGCCCTTACTGCGCAGGTTTGCCGCAAATCCATGTCCGGTGCCTCCAATAAACGAGGTGGCACTACCGTACGGTCCTATAGAGGTATCTATTCAATACTGTAAAGGGCCCTAAAACTACAACCCAGAAGAAAGAGAGAGAGAGAGGAACGATACGGAGAAGATTAGCATGGCCTCTGTGCAAGGATGACACGCACGAATCGACAAGTGTACCAAGGAGAAAGATGCAGAGAGATAGAGAGAGAGAGAGAGAGAGAGAGAGAGAGAGAGAGCGAGAGAGAGAGAGAGAGAGAGAGATCGAGAGAGAGCGAGAGAGTGGGAGGACTGCTCCAGCCCCAAGCCCCAAACAAAGCAAAGCAAAGACTGAGAGAAAGGTCTAACGACTAAGGGTTTAGATTTTAGAGTTTAAGGAGGGAGGAAATCTTTTCAGTTGGTCAGGGTAAAATCCTTGGAATTTACGGGCTTCGCCAGGTGCGGGCAGCGCAAGCAGCCGATGCCGTCATCGAGCAGGGATTCCCTCCCACAGCAGGGCCCACCCAAGAGAATCTTTCTACGATGCTCTGTATATTGTAGCAATTAAACTCGGCAAGTACATGTATGTATCTCACACTTCCTTAAGTACTGTCGGACAGAGTGATAGAGTCTTTCGGCAGATGGACGATCCCTAAATCCCAAGCCCAGACAACTTCATCGGAATTCGGGGTGGGACCTTGTCACCGGAGCTGCCATCTCCGCTGCAGCAGTGCATCGATCTTGCTTGCATTTCAATATGGCTTTCCGTTGCTTCCTGTACCTGATTGAAGCCAACTTCTTTCCAGCAGCTGATGTTGCACGTGTACCACAGCGACGGCAAAGCCTCAAGTCACTCGCGAGCGGTGTGCCGAGCACTTCTTGCTGGAACGTTGAGTTTCCGAAAATTCATGGGCTCCGCCTGATCCAATGCCCAAAAGCTTAAACCATCCCTTCAAAAAACCTTGAACCGAAGCTTCGGGTTCGGATCGAATCTCGATTCGTCCCAGCGGAAGCTCCAAAGAGAGTTTCTGTTGCAATGCATCCTCCAAGTTCAATTACAGGGCCATTCCAGCCGAAAACAGAGATCAAAACAGCGCCAGCGTTTGAGAGGTGCTCAAGAGCCTGTACTAGCAAGTCTTGGACGTCCAAAGCAGGCGCCACCTCGACAACCCCGTTGCACCCCTGCGCTGGTTGTGGCTCGAACAGCCTGGCATGCGGGCTCGCTGCTTGTGCAGCTTTTGTTTATCCCCTCCCACATCAGTCAACCACTCTGGCGACAAGCATGAGTAGCCTGATGAGGAACATTGATGGGCAATAAGGTGATGTAATTTCGTGTACCTTGGCGAAGAAGGCACCAGCTGGATACTCAAGCCCACCTCGTGGGGTAAACCTCAAACTTGCCTTCCATTTCATGTTATCTGAATCCTCCCCAGCTCCACACGGACACTGGTCCCCTAAAAGGGCACTGCAATGGGGAGCCAACTGTCGGCGGGCCCGGGAAGAACCTACTCCCGAGTCTTGCCATGGAGCTGTCGGAGTTTTCGCAGTCGATGCAAGATGCACTCATGCTCAGGCGAGGGTCGGGCTTGCCACGATACCGTGTGACAGAGTTCGCAGTCTTGGAGGGCTTTAGGATTTTGGGTTGGTTGCTGAGGCTGGGTCAATCGGTTTCGTGTCGAGGGTTGAACTGTCAGGCTTGCGGGTTCAACAGCAATTGCCTGGTCGATGTTTGCAGGGGCTTCAGAGCCAAGTGTGACATTGTGCCCACGTCTAGATCTAGCCATCTGTGCAGGCGCATTCCCACAGAGGGCGGGGATGTATCGTCTGTGACGCCGGTGGTCGTTTCTGGACTGCCTGGCTGGCTTGAGGGTACCACCTTTCCAGTCGAACTGCGCCAACGTGTGCAAGAGGAGCTGGAGATTCTGGGGCTGGTTCAAAGCCCGGTGGTGGCGCTGCTGTGGCCTGCCAGCGCCAGCCGCGCCAGCGCCGTGACCAAGAAAAAGACTTTGCGCCGTGGGTATTCCACTGCCTCTGCCCTGTACCCCAGCCGGCCAAACAAGCTGTGTGAAGCGTCCGGCATCTCCTTAAGCATCCGTCTGGTTTCCGACAGCCCGTGGCCTTTGGTGAAGTCCGTCGCGGTCGAGTGCAACATGGAATTTGGCAGAGTTGTTCGACAGACAACCTCGCACATATCCGATGCTGACTGGGCTGAAGACGTTACGTCGGCACGACAGCACTGGCAACAGCAGCTTCTGGCGGGCTTGTCCAAGTACTCTGAGAATTTGGAGGTGCAACTGCCAAGAAAAGCATTGTCGTCAACCAGCCAAACTCTTGCAAGCCGTACACGTCCTGAAGAATCCCTCTGGCGGAAGCACGGGCCCAAGGCCCTAGCCATTCTACTGTCTGAGCTGATCGTGAATGGTGCAATGCACGATGCCGCGACCCACCTGGAGGGCACGATGCTCGAAACGATGCGCTCCAACCTTCCGTTCTTCCCCGAGGGCCCCTTGGACTTCGAGGAGCACTTCCCGCCCTTGCAGCTCTCGGACGCCTACATAGAAACGGAGAAGCAGCGAAGCCCCGAGCTGCACCTCGGTCCTCGCGGGACGCAAAGCGGTTGTAGCTAGGTTTAGACAGTTGGACAGTTTTGGGGGTCAGAGCAGCAAAGCAGCAAAGGTTCCTTCGACTGGCAGCAGTGGTCTGGACAGCAGCCTCGCATGGAGTGGCGGCCTTGGACCAAGCCCTTGGGGCTTTGCGGAAAGGCAGCGTCCCATTGGACCGGGTGGCTCTGAACACGCCGGTGATGTATCGCTCCGGAGGCCGAAGCAGGAGCTTGACCGGACCGCTGCTCATGTTCGTCGTCGACCAGATGACTCTGCACCAGTCGTCGAAACACATCGTCCAGGCAGTGGTGGCTGGCAACGCTGACGTGAATTCGAGTTATGTCCTTTTCCCCACCGGGAAGCACAAGGCAATAGCCAAATTTCCGGTGCTCTGCCTGGCCGGCAACCGCCGGGCACTCGACTTCGCGGAAGCCCGGCAGCACATGTGTAATTGAAAGACTTGGATCAGGAAATGATGAAAATCGAGGGCAACTGGAAAGGTGTCTCTTGCTACTTAAGGAAGCTTTGCTGGAGCGGAAGGCGGATGCCAACCGCGAGATTACTCTGAACTACTTCCCGAACGGAGGCAATCCTCTTTGGAGCGCCGTCTGGGGCAGCAACAATGCCATGATCCGGCTCCCCCATCAGCAGCGATGCATAGTAGTACAAAGTAGTGTCAGTGGGGTCAGTGGAGTACATGAACAGCCGAGGCTCCTCCTCGGCTTCGGCGATGCGAACGTGAACATACACGCCTGGCACCCCGATGCGCCGCCTCTGTCACTGGGCTCATCTCAGTGCAACGGGCTTAGGATTGGATTCTTTTCAGCTTTCGGGCACGGTCGTCCAAAAAACCTGAGCACCGTGCTCGCAGAGAATAGCTGGGCCCGTGGTGTTTCTGATGCTTAAACCGAGGACAGGCCAGCCGCGTGAGGTTCAACTGCTTTCCCTGGCCTCTACGGCTCTCGACTCCGAGCATGTCCACCTTCTGCTGGAGTGCAATGCTGACTTTCAAGAGGACACGGACTTCAGTTGACGGTTGTTCCAACTGTAGGAAGACGTGACCTGTCGCAGACCGTTAATGATGTCACCACAATCATTAGCAGGAGCTGTCGTCCACCTTCGCACTGTGCCACGCAGATGTGAGCAAGTTGCTTGCAAGCCATGTGGCCTACCGCCACCCTGAGGCGCGAGCCGAGGTAAATACTTAAGCTCTTGAGTAGCCCAGATCCCACCGACTTCAAGCACAGTGTGCCGCTTACCTTTGCCCTTATGTCTCAAACGGACTCTTCGACGATGGGAATGTAGCCGTAGCCTGGGTTTCTCCACAAGTCTGGAGGCGCTTGTCCAGCGGTGCGACGAGCTGGATGCTTGCCTTGTCGGGTCTTTGGGGGGTTTTGGGCTTGGGTGAGGTTGAGGAACCAGAAGCCGCGGGCAGGGCTTGTGCCGAGTTCAGACAGACACACCACATAAAGCTATGGTAGAAGTTGAGCCTGACACCAAGGAGGGGACGTGCGGCATTTGGATCGATTGGGCCTTCCAGGCGACTTTGTCCGAGTCAAGGTCTTCGCGTATTGCGGAGCCCGAAATGTGTGCGACAACCATTCAGTGGGACCCACGAGCCACTACGAAGACTAGCTAGCTGTTTCCTCACAGGTACGGGAACACCGCTTGTGAAGCTGCTTTGGAGCTTCAAAGCTCAAATCCTTAGCCCAACGGCCCGCAGACGGATTCGGACCGTCGGACCTGAAGCCACCCAATCAGGAGATCGCCCGTGACGACGCAGCCAAGAGGCGCTTCCGGGTCGCGCTGGACAGAGCCTCGGTGCTGCGCGAGGTGGGCTGCAGCGGGCCGCGGGTACTGGTCGGCTTCAACCTCCACCAAACCACGGCTCAATGGAATGCTGCAGCAAATGTTGAGACAATCAGACGCTTTCAGGCGCACGACTCCCTGATCCGGTTCACCTGCGATCTGTGCCCTGGTCTTGTTTCATCTTTGGGCTCAGCTGGCCGTCTTGACCCCTCTGGAAGTCTGCCTCGATTGATCACCCAAGCCTTCAAGCCCCACCAGCGCACCCCGAAGGCATTGTAGGCTTAGCCGCCTTGGCCAGCAGAGCAGCCAGGATCCAGCGCCTGCCGAGTGCGGCGTCCGAGTTGTTGGATGGGATTTGCTTGCAGACGCCAAAGGCTCGTTTCCCGCATTTTCAGCTCTTCAGAGTTGTCGGGGCTTGGTTTCAGAGGTGGGGCTGTTTGGAGTAGTGTCTTAGAGACTGGGCGATTGTGTTTGTTTCTTTTAGTTTGGGGTGTTGTGGTAGGATTGGTGCATTGGCGATGCAAGAGCACGGCATAGTCAGTCTCGTCGGTAATTCCACACCTGAAGTTGTCCTGGATCGCTGGGTCATGTGTAGGAGGAGCTGTTTTTGAGGTTGGGGTTTCACTTTGCAAAGTCTACCGCATTGAATTCAGTTACATGGCCATTTGTTCGAGCATGTCGTCACATGAGGACAGCTATCACCGAAAGAACCTGATCCAGCAACATCCTGCAACCCAAAGCCTTGAGCCTTCTGCTTCCCGGTGCAGGTGCAGGAGCCTGCGCGTCATCCGTTGCGGACTCGATGCGTTTTCCAGGCCGGGTTGCTGTTGCACAGCTCAACCCTGGACGTCTAACAGCCAGTGTGCCTGATTCGATAAATCAGATATCCATACCTGTGCTCGAGCAGAATCAGTGGATCGTGGAAAGAACAAAGACTGACAGTAGCACTTCTGATGATGATGGTGATGATGGTGATGCTGACAATGCTGGTGGTGAACACAACCGCATACGAACCTTTTGCCAGAATGAGACGAGCACCTCTCATCGCGAATAGGACGGCGGTATCCTGAGCAGTTTAGCAGACGAGCTGACAGTAGACGAATGAGAAGCAGAAGCGGCAGAAGTAGCAGTAGCAGCTGTAGCAGTAGCAGTAGCAGCAGCAGAAGCAGAAGCAGAAGCAGAAGCATTAGCAGTATCAGCAGCAGCAGTAGCAGCAGTAGCAGCAGTAGCAGCTGCAGGAGCAGTAGCAGCAGTAGCAGCAGCAGTAACAGCAGTAGTAGCAATGCAGTAGCAGCAGTAGCAGCAGTAGTAGCAGTAGCAGCAGTAGCAGCAAGAGAAGTAGCAGTAGTAGCAGTAGTAGCAGTAGTAGCAGTAGTAGGAGTAGGAGTGGGATAAGAGTAGAAATAGAAGTAAGAGTAGCAGCAGCAGCAGCAGCAGTTGCAGTAGCCGTGGCAGCAACCGTAGCGGTAGCAGTATCAGTCCAGTAGTGATCGTCGCCGCCAGCCGTCGCAACAGTATCAGTACCAGGGATGTTCGTGGCCGAACTCGCAGCAGTAATCGTAGTTGTAGGGGTCCTACAATGTTTCGGGCTGCTGGCGCAGTGTTCTTGTTGAAGCCTCAACCACTCGAGAGACACTGCTGCACAAAGGCGAGCAACTTTCGCACGGCCTACATCACGGAGACGGTCTGGAAGCCTAACGGCACCAGGTTGCCAACGGGCAATGCAAGGGCTTCCGGGTCCAGGGTATGTGAGTCCTCCTGCCACGAGTATCTCCAAGCCCTTTCCTTGACGAGACTTTGAAATCGCTGCTCAGGCTAGGAAGCCCTGAAGCCGAAGCAGCAAGCGAAGCCACACCACCACCAGAGACCCGAGACCCAAACCCAAAGAAGAGGGCTCTTTGGGCTCTGGCGCCTGGGCTTTTTTTTTTTTTCTTCTTTTTGCAGGTTCCAGGACCTGTTGGCGCCTCCCGGGCCCGAGTCCCGGCCTTGCTGCGGCCTGGGACCCTCCGTGGAGCACCTGGGCCTGGGCGTTCGGGGGGACCGGGCCACCTCTCTCAGAGCCCCTTCTTTAAAACCTCTCGTAGTCCTCACTATAGCAAGGTCTCCTTATCATGCGTCGGACGCCGTGCGCCAGAGGGCTTCGGTTTCAGCAGCTGGGGTTTTGCACCGCAGGAGTGACTGACCAAAGGCATGTGAAGCAGAGTTCGAGCCCCCAAGAAACGCAGAGATGAGCATGTGGAGGGTTTCGAAGATCGGTCCTAATTACACGTTGGCTTGATACTCAACCCCCAAAGCCTGCAACTCTCCTCTTCCAGCCCGCGACATACCCACTACTTGAAAACACTCACCTTCTCTTGCGCTTAGGCGGTCAGGTTTCAACAGCTGTACTTGCAAAGCCTTGCAGAACTGTGAAAACCAGAACGAGAGGGGCCAGCCAAGCAAGAAAGCCTGAATCCTCAAGGTCCATGGACTTCTGCGACGTTCTGCTGGTGGGCTTCCCCGGCTTGATCGACGGGCGCGTGCTGCGCGCGCTGCGGTCACTGCCGCGGCGCACGCTCATTCCGCTCGTCCAGGAGCCTGGATTCGGGTTTTGAGGGTCAAGGGTCTAGCGGTGTCAGCATAAGACCTGGCAGATTCGGATTGCTCCTGTGCATCCCGAGGAAAGCATCGTGTTCCAAGGTTTGATCGAATACATTTGGACATCGCGTGTGCGCCTCTATCACTATGTCAAGTCCCTGCAAACGGTTGTCCAGCTTGGCATCCTGCTTCTGTGGTGGCAGAGGCATGGTCGAATGGGATTTTTTGTTGCAATCACTCCTCCCAGAGGGGTGTTCCGAGCTACGACTCTGGGTAGGATTGCAATGCCGCTGCTGGTTTTGAGCAGTGCCTTCCATATTTTTGCGGATGCACACTGCTTCTGATGTTTTACAGGATTCTGCAAGTTTGGCGCGAAGGTGTGAAAGCAGTCTCCTGTGCCCATTGCGTAGCGTCTGCTGAGGACTCGGAGCCAGCAACTTGTGGCCATGTACTGGGGCCTATTCATGGGGATTCTGGCAACGCAGTTGTCCGGCCTGGTGCTGTGCATCTGCCGACTGGAGCTTCCTTACATCTTGGCTGTCTTCCAGTCAGGCCGGGCACGCGTGTGGTAGACAGGTAGACTCAGACACGTCCCTGATGTTGAGTCAACATTCAACATCATCCACATCACATGTCGATTGTGTTTTGGATGATGTCCTCGGTCGCGTAGCACATGACTGCGAAAGGCAGCAAGTCTCAAGTTGCCAGCAAGTGAACCAAGCCAAGTCTAGCCGCTGTCGAGGCTATGGCTTGCGTCTAGTCTTCGCCAGCTGGGGTGCCTGGTACGAACTCCCACTGTCAGAGTACAAGTCGCCCCTTGCAGTCAACGTGGCATTATGCGCCGAGGCTGAATTTGGAACGACATGCCAGCTTAAGCCGAAGGTTGGGTTATCATTCTCTCCCCCTCTGTGCACATATATTATATTATATTATATTATATTGTATTATATTATATTATATTATACTATATTATATTATACTATATTATATTATACTATATTATACTATATTATACTATATTATATTATATTATATTATATGGTTTGTATCACTCTATGTGTGTGTGTATGGAGAAATGTAATCTCTTGCCCCTATTTGCCCGCAGGGTGGAAAACGAGAACTTAAGCACAATCCACAAAACGTCGGAAAACTTTGTGCGTGAAAGCACAGGAGCCCCACAGCCTGTAGAGTTGGCGGTTGATGCTGTCAATCTTTTCCTTGCCCAACTCACGAGTTCTAGTATGCACTCCTGATTGCAATCCCTCTGCTCCCGGGCGATGCGAGTTTTTTGCGAATAGGCCCTAATTCTAAGTGTACTGTAGGCTTGCTCCTTGGAAGCTCCTCTTAGGTTGCATTCCGGGCCAACAAGAGGGGGAAGAGGTTCTATAACATATATACATATTATATATATATATATATATATATATATGTATATATATGTGTATGTGTGTGTGTGTGTGGATATATGTCGAAAAAACACATAACACAGGTCATCTGCATCTGTTGCCTTTTTCCATTTCGCTGTCTCTGCAGGATCCGGCTTTCTGTCTGTTTCCCACCTTTCGTCTTTCCCTCTCTCGCGTTTCTCCCTCTCGCTTGCTGTTTGTTAGTGTGATATGCTTCTTCTCCTTGCGCATACAGGCACTTACAGACAGTTAGAGGGGGCATCCATCAAAGCTTGTACCGTCCGAAAACCGAGCGGGGGACCAGCTGAGGTATAACGGTGATTGTGTACGACTGCCGCGTTCTGAAGCCTTTTGGCCTTCCTGTTGGCCAAAGCCTGCTGCCAATCCTCAATGCTGCCGGCAGCCTGGAGTTTGCAGCAATGTCAGCAGTGATAAGTCTGGCACTTCTGGCCACGTTCCTTTACGTCTGCATTGAGTTCGAGGATGCTTGACAGAACAGTCCATTGTGGACTTTGTTTGCAGGGGTTCCTTGGGTCTTCTGATCGTAAACCGAGGAAGACTTGGGATTTCCGTCCAATGCCTTCCAGACCTGGCAAACTCTGATTGTTGGGGAGCCAACGTTGGTTGACGCAAGAGTTTCCCCGCAGGATGTGATTCGCTACCTTTCCGTGTCTGCATGTTTCCTTGTGTGCAACACCGTGTTGATGAATATCTTCATCAACGTGACGGGCGCTTCATATCTGCAGGAAAGAGCCAGTGTTGTGGGCACATTTGCCGTGGAGCGGTTGCGTATTTGTGTGGCAAGCACGTCAGTCTCCACATGTGTGCGGCGTTCTGTAATGGGAACCTTTACGCTCATGTGGTCGCTGTGGCTCACCTACATTCTGCTCACCGCCGAGTTCTCGGGTGCCGTGCCAGTGATCGTCGCCATCGTCACATTCTACTTCACGTTCTTTTGCGCCGGGCGCGCAGCGAAGGCAGCCGTGGCGGACCTCGACTCCGAGTTCTCCGAGCTGCGGTATTTGTGGATTTGCCGCCGGGCGAATCGACCCGGCGCCTCTGTGACCTCGCAGACCCGACCCGGGCAGCAGAGCGCCCTGGAGCAGGTCCGGGCACTCCAGGCCCGCTTCAGGAAGGCAAAGGACGAAACCGAGTCGGTCGTGGAAGTTTGAGCTCAGATGCTTTGCCTATCTTTGCCTACGCCTACATCTCGTAGGATGCTTTTCTAGTCGGTCCCGGACAGCATGCAAGTGCAGCTTCACTTAGTGGCAGCACTGTCTGCTATCGCGGCACGTAAATGCCCAAATGCTTTGCAGGCTTTGGTGAGTTTTCAAGCTCGGCGGCCGGATGGCGAAAGGTTCAATCCCGCACGCTTAGAGAAGTCACGCAAAAGCGTGCAAGACTTTGCCCACAACGGCAAGAAATATGAGACGGAATGCCATTTCTGGGAGAGCTTAGGGTTGATGATTTTTGTGTGGTTTCCGCAATTTCAAAGTCAAGCCGGGTGTTCAATCAGCGTTCTTAGCAGCGACGTATGGAAGGGTGAAACGGAATCTCCACCCATTGTATCAAAAAGGAGATCGTGCGGCGAGGATGCCTTGACCTCGAACAGATTTAGCAGGTCGCGGTCACGCAGTGAAGAGCTTTCGTCGGGGAAACATGCCCTTGGTTGAGACATCAGGCTTACTCTGAAGAGGCGGATAATTTCGAGTATTTGGGCAACTTTTCAAGGTCAGTGGTATCTTGTGCTTTCCCAATAGTAGCCAGAACGTCGCACATGAATGCCGCTATCCTTGTCTTGCTCTTCGAAGCAGCCGGGGCCAATCTTGCTATCTGCCGCTGTGACAGGCCGTTGGGCCCAAGAAGCAGAAAACATGGCACCATCAATCATGTTAGCTACCTGCGACGGCAGGCACATGCGTTTTGCCCGAGTGGCTTGAACTCTGAACTTAGGATTGGTAAGGCGAGAAGCTGTAACACTGTAGCTAGCGTTACACGCACTCACCTTGGAACCAGCAAAAGCTTTCCAGACTGCAAAAGGCGGTTCTGTCAGCTCGGATCAGCCAGTAAGATCGCCAGCGACTTTATGATCGGCTTCAAGATCTCTCAATAAGAAGCTGCATAAACGTGCCCACCTCTGTGCATCGACTCTGCCGCCATGGGCGGAGGGCCCGGGACTTGGAGTGAAGGTCTCAGCCAGACGAAGAGCCAAGCCCGGGCTTTGCCTTGTTTGAGGACGTGCCAGGTTCATGCTTTTCAATTCAGGGTGTCTTGCGTGATCTTCGGCCACATCCAGACATGGGGGTCTGTGCAACCGTGTGCCTCTTTTGGCTTATGAATCCGGCTTCAAGGATCCGGAAAGGAGTTTGGTGGTTCCCGCATGTGCTTGCAACCTTCAAGGTGTCTTGCTTGTTTTGGGTGCTTGAGCAGGGTGCGGTTGGGGCTTGCGGGTTGGAGCAGGGACGCCCGCTGCAGGTACAATGACGGCAAAGGTCGAAAGGCAGCTCTGGCCCGCGTATGAGCCGTGTAAGGGTTTCCAGTCGGCTGCGATGAGACTGAGATTGACACTGGGCACTGCTTCCGTTCGACGCAGTTGTTTTTTCGCCGAGTGGCTCCGGGTTTTAAGTCTTCCTCTACTCTGGTTGGAAGCCAGCACAGGTTGTCAACACCGCAGCGGGCCCCCCCACCCCCCACGCCGTCGAAACCCAGCTTGCAAAAAACTCACAGAGACTCCCGATCGTCGTGAACAAGTGCGAAGTATGGCCGTACTTTCTCCAAGTCAAGTCTTAGAGTCTTAGACTTAGAGCTCAGGCCCGGTTTCAAACCCAAGTTTGAACCGAATCTGGGTTTAGGCTGGGTTTGAACCGAGATCGCCCCTGGAATCCTTTCGTGCAGAATTCGTGATTAGGCAGGCTTCGCGAGTCGGCGCCGGTGTCTCTACGAATTTCCACCACAGAATCCCTTCCCCGTTCTCTTTTTAATTAAAAACTCTCCCTTCGCGCCAGGGAGGAGGAGGCGCGTCCGAGTCTCTGCGCACGGGAGGGTGCTGGGGTCTTGACAGGCTCTGAGGCTTTCCAGGATGTGTTGTTTGAGCGAAGCGCCGCCCAGAAGCTTTTCCTAAGCCTCTTTGCTGACGCAGGCAAAGGAGAACGCCGCAGCCTTCCCCACGCCCCCTGTCGCGTTTTCGGGATTGTAAGACGATCTGTCATAGCTCAAGTGGTTTGGGGTCGAGGGCTTGCAGCTTTTGTTGGCTGTTGGCTTCGTATTCACGTACTCAGCCTGCATCTGCGAGCCAGATGTGACCCCGAAGAGCCGTGTGAACCTGAGATGCTTTCCTCCATTGCGCAATCTCAAGAAGGGTGGTTTCATGTCAACTGCAAAGGAACCAAGGGCTTGTAGTGCCGTGGGCATACATGCTTTGCAAACCTGACTGTTTGTGTGGTTGTGGCTCTTCAGAAGACCCGAAGCCGGAAGCAGAGCCCCGAGCCCCAAACTCCTTGCATTTCAGCTCGACGAACGCCTTATCGGATCCCAAATCTCGCAGCCAGTTCGTCCCTGCGCGGGGCGGCGGCGATTGGGGTGTGCCTGCGAAGTTTGTAAAACCCTGCAGGTCACAAACCTTAGGTATCCCAGCCTTCCCGTGGTGGAGGCTGTAACTGGGTCGACTGGCATTTTCCTTCGCGGAGTATTGCCTTGCTTAGGGTTGGTACATTTGGTGTTTTGCCCAAATGTTGCTATCTTGGCATCGGATGCCGAAGGTGCCCTCTCCTCAGCAGTAGTTCCACATCTTGTGCAAGCTCGAGCATGAAAGACAGGTCCCCGTAGGCAACGCAGACAGACCTTCACATCAAGCCGGTTTTCAGGAAGGAGACTGTCCGCCCGAACGCTCGGATATTTGCACCTGAACTGCATTCTTGAATGTAGCCAGGTAAGAAGGCAAGACAAGCGCAGCAAGCGGCGATAAAGGACGAGAAGACAAAGCGGGAGGTGTGGATGGGTTTTGGGGCCTCGTGCTGTAGGTTTGGTTCCGTTCTTCATGGGAGTAGGGATCCATTCGTCCTGATGGTTCAAAGTCTAGCCGTAAGAGTGTCGGTCTGGGAACTTGAGACCGCTGCTTCACGTGACGTGCGTAAGCTCGGCACCTACTCACAATGAGTTCTACGCCGAAGCATCCCGAAGCCGTCAACAGGAAGATTTCGCGTGCGCAAGGTGGACTACTTCTGGCAGCAGCAGGAGTACTTCAGCGGCGGCGTGCTGCCTCCATGTTGCAGATCTGGCTACCCTCAATCAGGGGTCCGGGCAAAGCACGGGTTCAAGGGCTTCAGCCGCTTGTAGCACGACTTATGTCTGCCAGGGAAAAGGACGAAAAGGCAAAGGCTATCAGGACCGGGCATCGGGGCTGTTAGTGGTTAAACTGTTTTCACACGTAGGTGCTGAACCCGTAAATTCGCCGTAAATCTTGAACAATGCCAGTGCGCACTTGCTCCGAATTCCTTGTAAAAGCAGGCTAGGTACATCGGCAGCTCAACCCTGATCAATCCCTTTCTAGCGAGGGGAAGTCCACAGAGAGGAGACAGCCGATCAGCTTTTCGGCGCCCAGCGCGATAATGTTGGCATCGACTTCGACAAGTGCCCAGAAGTCGTTGTGGCCTTTCATTTCGGCGCGAAGGCGATAGGACTGCGATCCCGAAGGTACGATGATATCCCCGTCGACCTCTCGGGCCAAGGTGTCGGTGCCTCGGAATCTCCTGCGACTCCTTTTTCTCCAATTGAAGAGCCCGAGGCCGAGGAGATCGAGGGCCTTGAGAGCTTCGACGAGCTCTGGGACCGCCCGCTTTGCAACAGAGAGCCCGAAGCCGGTCGCGGTGTCCGCAGTTAAAGTAGGCATACATCTGTGTAAGTTGCCAAGCACTGCACAAATCTGCGGCCCAAAAACTTGGCTCTGCATGTTGCTCCAGAATCCAGCAGCGTGACAGGACCGGTTCTACATGCATGATTTCCTGTGGGACAACCTAGAGAGGTGCCATTATCGCAAGCTCAGACCTCAGCAAATGTGATCATCGCGCTGAGTTAGAACCCAGGGTGTAGACCCCCACAATATCAGAAGTGTACTGCCTTGGCCGGATATATGCAAGTTTGGAAGTAAGTCAGCAAGCCAGGCCAACTCCTATCCAAAAGTTCGCGCTGCCAGCCGCGCTGACAGGGAAGGCGCGTGCTGCGTCAGGGGATGAAGGTAAGTGTTCGATGCTCCCTGCTTGCCATTCTGTGTTGCGAGGGTTGTCCGATTCAGGACCCTCCGGGACTAAACAGCCTGGGCCTTCGAACCCAAAACAGAGCCTTTCAGCAACAGCTTTGAGACGTGACTGCCCGACGACTCCCGAAGGACTGCATGTGCTGCGCCCAAACGGGCTCAGGCAGGGAAGAGTCGGAACTCAGAGATTTGTTTGGGTGATGCTTGGTTTCGGGCTTGGATGTCCAGCTACGATCTCACAATGTCCTGAAACCACAACACAGCAAATCCGAATGTCCACGTTCCCAAGTAACACATCACAAGGTTTCTTGTGTGTCACAGGAAAGACCTGTGCCTTCCTCCTTCCCATCCTCAGCTGCCTGGACCTCACGCAGGCCCGAGGGATTCCGGATATTTGAAAGGCTTCTCTCAGGACCACATGACCAAGCCTCCACTTCTTGACTCCACCACCCTTCAAGCTCTGAGCTCTCCCGAGATGCCTTGCAAGGCCGCAGGCACCGTGGGTACAAGCTCGGGAGAGCCATCGGCACCCAAGGCCTTCCATTTTGGCGCACTCGCCTTCTGATGGCTGTCTGTTCTTTGATGCAGTCTAGGCGGTGTACGCGGTCGCTGGGGCAGCGTAGGTGGTCAGATTCAAGCACCATCACGGCTGATTTGCTGACCCGGTTTCGCAACCCGAAAACCAGAGGGCACCCTTTGAGCCTGAGCCGCCATTCTTGGCATCCTCCGGGATCCGGAAACACACAGCGGTCCTGAAGCCTGTTTCTGCTGCGGCTCTGCTACTTCTGAAATGGCTGAAGTCGACGGTAACGATGATACGGATGATGATGATGATGATGATGACTGATGATGATAATAATGAGGATGAAAGGATGATAATGATGATGATGATGATGATGAGATTTCCATGGAAGCGCTAATCTGGGAGCCGCATTCATCTTCATGATCATCAGCATCCTGGCAATCATGTTCATCCCTGCACTGTGGAAACAGTTGCACGGTGGCGAGATAGTAAGGCAGCGAGTCACCATGTGGATCGCAGTCTTTATCAGTGAGAGGAGCATCAAGAAATTACTGTCTCTTTGGGCGAGGCGGTGGTGCTTGCGCCCACGAGGGAGCTGTGCTCCCAAATCCACCTCGAGGCCGCTACCATGATGCCGACTCTGTGGTGCGGACTTGGGTCTTCCGTCTTCGCAGGGCACTGGCAGCTGGGAGTCCATTTGCTTTGGGATTAATGCTGCTAGAATTCACTTCGGTGGGGCAGAGGTGACGCCTGGGGGCAGAAACTTGAGATGACACTCCTGGAAGTCTCTCGAAAGAAACAGCTGCTTTCCCAACAGTCATAGAGAAGCCCTTCCAAGACCGACCAAAAGTGGATCCCGCAAAGGCCGGATGCACGATGATCCTCAGCATGAGGACAGTAGCTGACGATGTTGACCACTAAATCGCGGTGGTGCCCTAAGAGCTCCAAGCCGATCTGATGGGCCCGCTCCGCGCCCCGGAGGCCAAGAAGCTGTCCTTCAAATCTCCGGCGCTGCCGACACGTGTTGAGGAAAAATTGGGGGGATTGGTGTTTCGGGGCCCCAGTTTATGAGTTTTCGCTCTGTGGCCGGGATGTTGCTGGCTCCTGATCCGAAAGTCATTGGTAGGGTTTCCACGGGTGTCGAGCACCATCTAACAACCAACGGTCCATGGGCGTCCACTGCCACAAATTCCCGCAGTCCCCAATCCCTTCCTGAAATTGCAAGCATAATATGTGCTCAAGATCTGTCAAGCAAAGCCCATGCCGCAAAACCGAAGCTCTATAACCCCACGAGCCCTGAGCCTAGATAGCTTCGTCAGGTGCGAGCCGGTGAAGTCTACGGCGGCGTGGACGCCAGACACTAAGACACGGGGACATTTGTGCATTCGAGGGTTTCATCTGCTTTATGGAGTTTCGTTTCGTTGAGGCGGAGGTGCTTCGATGTGACTTCGCCTGAGGGGTCCAGGGTGTTTTCGGTTCTGGAGGTTGCGAGATCGGCATTTCGGGTTCATGACAGTTGGATCTACTGCACATGGATCCGAGGGGTTTTGGCAACGTAGCAGTGGAAAGTTGGCAGATCCCAAAGTGTCTGAGGCAAAGCCACAGCTCTATGACCTCGCTCGAGGAACGTCCGGCTCCACATTAGGTCCAGGGTTCATCGGTTCATCACTCTCAACCCCAACGCTCCTTCCCGATGCGTAACTGGAGGCGAGATGCATTAGCAGTATCTCGGCGGCCAGTTTGGAGATATATAGGTTGTACACGAAGCCTGAGAGCGGAACGAGGGAAGCATCAAACGCAGGAGCAACACTCGAAACGCACCTCAAATTCGACACCCAGCATCCTTCAACTTGAGAGCAGGAGTCGACATCGTGACTGCCACACCCGGCCGTGACCTTGAGTACTTCTGGTGGCCGCTGCAAGGGCTCAGGAGCCGACAGAAGCGCACAAATTTTCTCCAGGGCAAAGTTGGAATGCAAGAAGCCTGTGGCGAGGCACAAATTCCTCAGCGAACTCCCCGGTCCCATGAGGCCGGCTCACGGACTTCATTGACCGTGGTGTCATCACCATGTGCCCCGCCGGCGCTAATGTGCACAGCAGGATTTGGTAGCCAAGATGACTAATTGAGGTTCGTGGCTCGGGTGCACTGGGAGGGTTGTCTCGCGGATTCGGGCCACGTGAAGAGGGACGGGGAGAACGTTCGAACTGACATCCGAGCCCTCAACTCCGAGATCGGAAATCCTGCACCCATGGGACCTCCCCCGGATCTTTTGCCCGATGCCACGTCGGAACAGAGGTATAACGTGGGCTTCCTGGTGCTGGATGAGGTGCCGTTCGTCATAGATAGCCCGAACGCGAAAGCGATCTAAAGCGGAACTTCAGACAATTGGTATCTTGGTGTTGGGAAGCCGAACCATCAGTGTCGCAAGAAGGGGGAGAAAAAAGAATTGAGTAGGCTTATTGGCTTGATCGTTGATTTGGAGCTGTGTCAGGGTTGAAAGACAAGCCGGATGGGCCCCAAATCGTCCGCACGACAAGTTGCCCTAGCTTTGACCTTCCTGATGTAGTTCAGTGGATGGAGGCCGACCGCATGCTCGACATGGGCTTTGAACCGCAGATTCGCGAGATCGTTCAGAAGCGTGTGTGCTGGCTGAAAGTATTCTCATGGGGTCGCGAAGTTTAAAGGCATTTCAAGATGGCACACACTCGGGAACAACATAATCATCGGTTGGGTTTACAAAATAGTGAAGTAACTAGTAACCGCAGACACTTCAGCGTTGAAAGCGTTCCGGGGCAAGCGAGAACGACTCGACTCGAGGCATTGCCTCTCATAGTTTGCACAGAATCTAGCTTTGATACAGCAGTTCCAGCAATTCTCGACGCAGGGTGAGTGCAGGGTGCGCGATCTAGCATGCAGTTGGCGAGTGATCTGCTACCCGCGCAGAGGATAGCCATGTTGGCGGTGCCGCATCAGGATACACGGTTCACATGCGACTGTGTGTGCTTCGAATCTACACACATTGGTATGTGGCACGAAGCCCATCAACGATATGCAAGCTTCCAGTTTCCTGTCCATCTACCTGCTTCCCTGTAGAAGCGTTATCCCCTCGTCCTGACACCCTAAGAAGCCGAAGAGCCGTCTGTGCTCAGGACATGCCATCCTGTCGGGAGGCCGGGGCTTGCGGGGGCTTGCGGGGGCTGGGCCTGTCCCGTCTCTACCTCAAGCAGTGATCTTTGCGTGAGCTGCTCCTGTAATTGCCCGCCATACTTCGTGAAAGAGGATCTGTGGCAAGGGCCCAGGACATTCAGTCTCGGGTGCCAGAAATCAAACCCCACTTGGCTCCTCCTACATCATGGTCCAGAATCACAAGTATCCGACACTGCCAGACTCCCTCCCGCAAAGTCGGTCCTCTCAGGGCCGCATGACGCTGATGTTCTCGGCGACCTTCCCCAAGGAGATCCAGAAGCTCGCGCAAGCCTTCATGAGGCGCCGGCATAGCCTTGACTCTCCCAGACCAGCCTGGGACTCGCTTGAAGCCAGGAGCTACATCTGGATCGGCGTCGGCCGGGTGGGTGGCGCCGTGGACACGGCGGAGCCCTCAGAAGCTTCGAGGAGGTCTGGGACGCAGCACCTGCACATTGGATTTAGGCATTGGTATTTTAAAGTTCCGGACTTGGCCTGGCTAAAACCCGGACCCGGAGCGTTCGAGGTGGAGCAGACCTTCATCGTCACCGGCAACCGAGGCAAGATGGGAGCCGTGGGAGCGAAGTTTGGGAAGTTCGGCACGCAAGCAGCCGGCACACTGACTCTTTTGAAGCCTGCAAGATCATCGCTTTCCGCAAACCCTGTGTTCCCCAAAGTATCTGCATCACTCGTTCGGCTTGCAATCCGACCTGCCCAAGGCAAGCCGGACGTCCTGACCAAGGCTGCCGGTGGGGGCTACGGTGCGAGGAGTTTGCCATGTTTCGGGTTTGCCTTCGCGTCTTCCACGGCCGCTCCTTCTGCCACTACGAAGTCTACGAACATTTACGAACGCGACGGTTGGCGCTACGGTGCCACCTGGACCTTGAATTTTGACCATGCTAGATGCTTGACGTTGACAGCCCCGTGATTTCCGGGGCAACAGTGCAGGTTTTGGAGGGGCTTCTTTTGGGCAGGTCCTGAACACGAACCCCACGGACTCGACCCTGATCTTCGTGGCCATGAAGCGCACGGCCGCCTGGTTGGAGGCTCTCGGCCGCTGATGGAGTGAGGAGTTGGGGCTTGACGTGTCAATGTCGTTCTTCGAGGGTTTGCAGGGTCTGGGGTGCCAGGATTTCAGAGTGTGGGCTTGAATTTGTTGTCCGAAGCTTGATTTTTGGGTGTATCATGACGGTAAGTTCATGCGTTAAACGACGGTGTTTGGAACTTTGGCTTTGGGCCTTGGGTGTGCAGGCCTCGGCTACAGTAGCAGGAGGTGCCGTCGAGCCTCCCTGCACCTGACAGGTGTACTTTCGCAACTAGCTCAAAAGGAAAACTTGTCGATCAAACTTGCGAAAATGCGGAAGGCAAGCGAGTCCCCAACAAGGCCAAACCGCATACTTCCAACCCCAAGCCAAGACTCTTGACGTAGACTGCTGATTCGCGGGTCTTCTTCTCCTAGGATCCCCACTTATGTTCAATGGAGTTGAGTGATCTCACTGATTTTTGTCCGAATATGTTTGAACGCGAAGCGACAGTTTTGCAGTTCTGGTCGACTTGGAACTGGTTTGCCTGCAGCTTTTGTCAGCTTTTAGAACCCAGACCCCAAATCGTAAGACCGTCTGCACCGTGGTGTCAGGGGCACCTTACTCGGATGGGCTACAATGCCGCGGCAATTCATGGTGACATGGACATCGCTGCTTCGGGGTGTGTGCGCGAAAGGCTCCCGGTGCTACAGGCTCGCAGGCTCGTAGAGGCTCGGAACCGCAGCCCATCCTCGTAGCCAAGCGAGAGTCGGCTCCGAAGGAGCAGCGGGAGCGCGAGCAGTCCCTCTCCACCTTCAAGAGGCCGGGCCGGAAGGGGTGCAGAGGGTCTGCAAAGGGGTTCCCCCTTTCGAGAAAAATCCGACCCGGACCCGGCAGCCTTTGTCTTTGCATCGCAGTGGGAAGAGCACCTTCCTCGTGGCCACAGATGTTGCTGCCCGTGGCCTCGACATCCCGAAGGCCTTCGCGGGTCCAGGTTGTGCGGTTTTTCGGAGTGGCCTGAGATGTCCTGAACGTCTGTTCGGCGTTTGGACTGCAGGATCTCGCTTGGGGGACTGAGTTTGCTTTATGTCGGCACTGATGCCAGCAGCATCCGTCTTTGCATTAGCCGTGCCACGAGAGTTTTGGACGATGTGACGCCCAATAGGTCTCGCACGTCATCAACTACGACCTGCCGCAAAACATTGACTCTTATGTTCACCGGATCGGTCCGCCCCTTGCGCATTCACAGAGCTTTGGTAAGCTAAGATTAGCACCATCCTGCACCTGGGTCCTTGGTACTATCCGCCGTCGTTTATCCGGACCAGCCGCTTCAAATCGAGGCCGGACCGGACGCATTGGTAACCACGGCTGGGCCACCAGCTTCTATGCCGAGAGCCGAGCTCTGGGGGGAAGGCCGCTGCCAGATTCGGAGCTTCGAGTAGGCAGCGATTATGGGCCTAGGGCCTAGGGATGGGGAGATATCGGGAACCTGGCGGCACTGTTTGGCAGCTTTAGCAGTCTCAGCTCAAATCTCGGGTTCTCTAGTGCAGTCGCTAACTGAACATGAACCTCCCAGCGTGGTTGAGGTCCCGGCACACGATGGCCAGCATTCCAATGCCAATGTCGTCAAAGGCCTGTTTCGGCTTCGAAGTTAGCGACTTTCGGTAGACCTGGACCTGGGCCGTATGAAACAGCTGTCGAAGCTAGTAGTGACCAAAATGCCTTGCTCGTGCAAGACGTCCAGCCATTCGCGAGCTTCCGCTCAAGCTGTAAGCCACGGGTGTGCCTCACGTTTATCACATAGTTTGCGGGACTTTTGCGGTAGTGGAAGGCTTTCGGTCCTAACCAGATTGAATTCGTCATGGGTGCTAGCCTTGCCTCTGTGAAAGCCTCCTCGTCACACATCCTTTAAACATATACAGAAAGCAGTTGCTAGACTCCGAAGGCAATTGAAACGGCCGCGTGCAGCAGCATTCGGAAGCCATCCTGCTAACTGGCCCGTGGCAACACCAGACCACATCCCTCGCCGCCAGAACTCGTGGCAGTTTTGGAGGGTGCGGGGCAGGATGTGCCTGAGGCGCGCGGAGAGGTAAGCTTCTGTCCGTAGCAGCCGGGTACGGCCAGGGTGGTACGGAGATACGCGCAGGATTCTGGTCTTGTTTGCTGTTGTGCTGAGGATGTCGTGCTCTTTTGATCGATATAGCGTCTGCCAAACATCGTTGGTCAGCCGGTCAGTCGCCGGTCCAGTCAGAGGCAGTTCGCAGCAAAGCTCATTCCAAAACATCAGGTCATGCGTTTTGGCACAAGTTGAAGGTGGTTTGCACTGCGCTACATCCCTGAAGCTATTGAGAACATCGTGACCCGTAATCATTGCCCAGACCGTTACAGAACAATCCGAATGGTGACGGCCATCAGCCAGGAGTTGAAGCAGGAGGCCTACAAGCAGGCACCCAGATTTGGGTGCGGTGTCTCTTGCGAAAGCCTTTCACTGCTAGGCAAATTCCCGCCTTCCGGCAAGCTTCATCTTGTCATTGAGGTTTTTTGGAACGTGCTTTCAGGTTTCTGGGTCGAGAACTGGAGCAAGCCCACTGCCAGAACATCGAACCCGCCCTGCAAACCCACTGTTCCCAAGAAGCCAAGCGGCTTGAGCAATTGCCCGGTGCTTGTAGTGCTGTGCTCCATTCTGCAGTCCGATATGTCCAGCCTCAAGAAATGCCTCGGGTCAGCCAGGGGTACCAGAAGAACAAGGGTGGCAAGGGTGAACGTGTGCCCGGCCAGTTTGAAGCAGTAGCCCCACCTTCTTGGGCTGAGATGGTTTCACTGTGTCTCTGCATCTGGATCAATGACCGTGTCAGTGTGTCCGAGAAGCGAGCATGTCGTATCTTCTCATACAGACATCTAAAGTTGGCAGGGGTTGAAAGGATCAGTGCGCCCAGACTGTAAGCACTGAACTGAAACTAAATAAATACCAAACGGCCCAAACCGGGCGTCGCAAACTCATGGACCCACATTACTGTAGTGGTAGCACTCCGCGTAGAGTCCACCCCATTGACGGGTCCCAACTCCAACATATACACCATGTATCCACATACTTGCGGATGATAGTAGATGTTACTTCTGCTCCTGCTACTGCTGCAGTACCGCCGGTACTAGTGCAAGAGCCAGCTAGTGGTGGTAGTAGCAGTAGCGGCAGCTGTAGTGGCAGTAGTAGTGGCAGTAGTAGCAATAGCAGAATCAGACACAGCAGCAGCAGTTGCAGTCGTAGTCGTAATCGCAGTCGTAGTTTCGGATCTTGCCTGAAACAGCCGTGACTTGACTTCGTTTTGCAGCTCCTTCGGAGTTTCGGCGCGGGCTTGTTCGTTGTTTGCGAGCAGTTCTTACGACTGGAAAAACCTCCACACTGTGACAGGTTGGGGCGGCCGCGACTCGCGAGGCTTGGGGGCAGGGTCTCAAGGGTGGCTTTTCGAAGTTCTCTAATAAACCAAAAGCTCGAGGTTCCCATCTACAAACCAGAAAGCAAAAATGGCTCTGAGCCGAAGCCCGCGCAGGCGGCAACACCATCCGCTCTCAGGGCGGCTGGCTAGGACCCCAGCGAGGTCCCAGCGCAACTCGTGGACTCCGTGCCATGCTAGGCTCTGTCAGCTGTAGATCTTGACACCTACCAATGCTTGGACCAGAGCTCCCGAGCATCAAAACCCCAAGCCCTTGCGGCCATGGTTCCCAAGGTCGAGCGGCAAAGGCAAGGGCGGGGGTGGCAAGGGCGGCGGTGGAAAGGGCGGCGGTAAGCCGAAAGGTGGCAGCCGACAAGGCCAGGTCAGGGAGCTCCTTCTTTGCGGGACCCCAAGCGGACATCCTAAGCCCCAACAGCCCAACAGCCCAAGCACGCAAGCCTGGAATCCGTTTGGATCCTTCTGCTCGAGATCTCGCGACTCTGAGATAGGCACGGGGGAACAAGCCTTCTCGCTGAACCTGGACACCAAAACTCAACAGAGAAACCAGGATTCGATTACAGGAACCTGAAATATGAGCTCGAAAACTCCTGGCCCTAAACCTCGTTAATGCCCCCACACGTCCGAACACTCTGGAATCTCTTCGGAGGCTCCGGTGCCGACGGCCCGAGCTGGCGAAGGGAGGGACACGCGAGAACCTGAGCCTGTTAACTTGGTGTTAAGCGAAGCATCTACAGTTTCGGGTTCGGGGCCCGCTTTGGCTTTGGGGTTGAGAGTTGTCCAGAGAAGTGGTTGGCCGTGTCCAAAATACTACGGAGACTAGGCTTTCAAGTTTGTTTGGGAGTTTGGGTACATTTGCAGAGATGCACTTTTTAGACCCTCAACAAGTTCACTGGTTCAGTGTACTTCCACTGTTGCAGGTAATGTAAAAACCTGTGAGCAGAAACCGGGACAGCAGTAGGAGATCCAAGCAATAGCAGGTTCAGCACCAATAGCAACCAACAGCACTGCATGCTAGTTTCGTCATGAAAATCGCCATTGAAGCCGGCAGCATCTCGTACATACGAGGATTCCGGTAGTTCGAGGACGGCGCTTCAGGGTGAAAGGGGTTAGCTTGAGGAGACAGTTCCTAGCTCAGGAAGCTTCTTTGCAGCAGAGATTTCAGTCAGTCTTGGAAGGCTTTGGGTCTCAGGTTGTCGGGCTCCAGGGACTCTGCAGTTAGGCCACCAGCAATGGCGCTGCGACGCTCGGCTGCCGTGGACAGTGATGGAGGGAAGCTTTGCAGGGTCCTGGCTGTATGTTCGCACGGAACTTGGTAGCTGCGTCATTTGTGACCACGCAGTTTTGGCATAGTTTGTGGAGATTGTATGTTGGATTGTGCCTTTTTCTCAGGGGTTTTGCTGAATTCTATGTTTCTCCGAAGTACTGCTTCAGAACCGTTAGGAACTGCCAGATGTCTTCGCAGCACATTATCATCGTTGGGGCATGGATGTGCTAGTAGCCTGGACGTTCTCATCGTTGGAGCATGGTTGCACTGGACGTCATCAATTGTAGGGTTTAGGGATTCACTAGTAACATGGACGTCATCCTCGTTGGGGCATGGGTGCACTGGTAGCACGGACGTGATCATCGTTGCGGGATGGACACACTGGTAGCACGGATCAAACCAAGCAAACACCAGAAGCCACGTCTTCCAAGCCTGCAAAACCCTTGCGGTCACTACCGACGCCATGCCAGTGAAGCCCTTACGTGCAGGGCCATGAACAAAACCGCAAACACAAGTGAGCCAATCGCATGAGATTCTGTCGCGTTCATGTGTCCTTCCTCATGCTGTGTACATGGGCAGTGGTCAAAATGCCTTGTCGCGAAGTTTATACAAAACAACCTATTTGATTGTTCGGGTCTGTATTTTTATTTACATCAAGAGGCGTCGCACAACTAGGGCTTCTTAAACCCCTTGTTGGCGCTAGGACAATGTCATGTACCGAGTGTACCCTTGTTTGGCCAGAAACCAGCTGCGGAAAGGCAAGATTCGATAAGGCTGACAGCTTGGGATCCCCACAATGATCCTCTGTGCGGCCCAAGGAGAGACTTCTTCGGGGATGGAGGCCGCTTGCCGTTACGTGTTCTTCTTTTTCTATCAGACACACCCGCACACACAGACGCTCTCGCTCTCGCTCTCCCTCTCCCTCCCTCTCTCCCTCCCTCCTGTCTCTTGCTCACTTGCTCTCTTTTGGATATGTTCAGAGCTGCAGGGGAGGCTTGCAACCGCCCTGTTGAATCCAGCCAGGGGTTTTGGGTTTGGGGGGGACCGTGCCCTAGACTCTGGACATTCTGCACTTCTCACAGCATCTCAATACAGGATTTCGCAGACGAGCCTGACGGCTGTGCAACATGCACTGTAGGCCTCGAAGCATTGCTTCCTTTCCAGGCAGGAGCAAAGGCCAAGGCAAGAAGCTGGCGGCCCAGACGTCTGAAACCTCTCGACACACAGCTTGATGTATGCCGCAAAGTATGACCAGCATGCTGTAGCTGGCATAAGACTTCTGGAGGACCGCAGCAGGCCCTTAGTTGGTTGGATTTTCTGCAAAACTTATACGGATAGTTGAGTAAATGGGCGAGTAAATAGATTCAGAAAAAGTAGATAGATAAAGTATAGGCATGAGTCAACATTTGTGCGATATGCACTGGCCCTGCCCTACTGCCTCGACTAGGATTTCAATAATCGCCCTCGGTCCCAGTCGCATGCCGAGGCCCCGTGAGTGGTAGCAGCAGAGCATTGACGCTTCGCGATGGGGCCGAGGTTGAAGGTTTAGGATACATTCTGAAAGAGATCTCCGCAGCGCTTTTGTTTTGGGATTCGATTCTTTTCTTCGGAGGGCTGTCGTACTTTGGACTTAGGGGCTGAGGGCCAACATCTTAGCTCCAGGGTTTTTGATGATACCAGCGGCCGCTTCAACTGATCAGGTGTATTCACGTTGTGCACACGATGCCTCAGAAAAGCGGGGTCTGCTTGCTGGAATTGAATCGGAGTGGGTCAGACTTTGGCCAGACTCCTGGAGCCTTGAGCCTTGAGCCCTAAGCCCAAAATCCAGGAAGCCCTAAAATAGCTCCTGAGACCAACACTTCCAGCCCACGTTTCCTTCTCGATCCGTCGCGGCGCCTGCGTCTCCGAGGGTTGTCTCTGCAAGTTTTCCCCGAACCCTACGGGACCACAGATTCGCCGGGAAGGCTCGGTGCCACAAATGGCCAAGCAGATAAAGGCAAGCTTTCCATGTTAATCGGAGTTGTTGTTCTTGTGTTTTTGAGAGCTGGAACAAGGTTTGAGTGTAGGCCGTAGTTAGTTGCAGGGATGCCAAAGACAAGTTAGAGGTATACCAGAAGGGAGCGCTTCGAGCGCTTGAGTAATGAAGGGCGTTTGGGGCCCATGCTCCGATTTCGCAAGCGGGTTGCTGTCGTAGTCATGTGGCTATCGCACCAACTTTAGGAGTAGCCTCGTCAGATCTTTCAAAGCAGCGATAACAGGTACGGGCCCGAAGGTTTCCTACTGCGGCCCCGAAACGTTTCTCGCTGGTGAGCGACAGAGGCAGCGCCTGTGCGATTTGTCCCGACCCAAGCCGCCAAGCCGCCCTCAGCCCTCATCCCGAAGCATCGCAAGCACTGGGCATGCCTGGGCCCCCCGGGCCCTCGGTTTTAAACGACAAATGCGCGGGCGCCTGCTCGAAGCCCGAAGGCAACAACGAGAGGTTGTCCTCGTTTCGGAGCATGGTTCCTGAAGGAAGCAAAAAGCATGAGCGGCTCCCCACTTCACCGAAAGTCTCAAAGATGTTTCGGGCAGCTGCGGTCATTTCCTGAAGCCCAGCGGTATTTTCGGGTTGCGGTTCCGAGCAGTCAGCAACACAATCAGGCAGGTTTGTGGCCGTGGATCTAGTTGCCAGTGCTGGGGAAGTTTGTGTTGGGGTCGTGTCCGCAAGCTTTGGCGTGCTTGAGGGTGTAATCCCTGCTCGTGGCACCGCCGCTTTGCAGCTTCAAAGCGTCGCAGATTCAATGAAAAGAGCTTATAGGAGCTTGGACTGTATGCCATGTGCTGGAAGTTAGACTGTCGAGGTACCTACAAGGAAAGACTCTTCTGACAGAAGCGCGTCTCTTTCCTTCATTCCTTCTTTGGACTCTTCTGCTCTGAGCTCTGACCTCCAAGCTCGAAATGGGGGCCTGCTTGGGCCTCGCGCGCGAGGGCGAAGGCCCGCCATGGGCTCGAAATGGGGGACTGCACGGGCGACGGCACGGGTGGCAACAGCTGCCGAGCTCTAGGGGTCTGGGCCCATCTCAGCCTTTGGCACGCTACACTTCTAGGCCCTAGAGGCATCTCCCCGATAGGGAGACCCCAACAGCTTCCAGGCCGCTGCTGCGATTGCGGCTCGTGGAGGAGGCCAGGCAAACGCCACAGTTCAGAGGGCACTTAGTGCTTTAGGTTTTCGAGGGTTGTGAAGGCTTGCAGTGCAGGGCCAGGAATTCCACAGTCTGGAAGCTCTTGTGAAAGCGAAAGCTTTGATGGGACCAGCTTTGGGGATGCAGGGCGTCTCCTTCTGGCGTTCCCTTGGGTTCTGTGATGGGAATGACATGGACACGAGGCGCCTCAGTAGTAATGCATGAGTATGGTCTCTTCCAAGTGCCCTCGTATCGAGGCAAAGGCACCCGCACACACAGAGAGAGACACAGAGACACAGAGACTCACACACCCGCGCTGCGCTGCGCGCTCGAGCATGTCGGCGGTTTCCACGATCGGCATCACCGCCTTTTCCTTGGCGGGCCGGGAGCTGGCAAAGGTCTTTGTGCCACGGGATGTCTCAGTGCGGATGCTGGTCGAAGCGCTGGGAGCGGCTGCTGGAATCTCCTGGGACGCGTGGCAGTTGACATGGAAAGGCGAAGCCTTAGATGACTGGAGTCTCCAACCCTTCACCGCCGACTCAGAGCTGTCTTCCGTGGAGCTTCAGGTGGTTCTGAAGCCGCAGCCTCTGCAGCTGGAGCCGGAGCACGAGCACGCTGTCGAGCTCTTGGAGGCACTGAAGGAGCCCTACGATGGGCTGCGCGGCCTGAGCTTCGCCCTCGGATCTCTCCGACAGCTCTCGCTGGGTGCGAAAGATGATGACAGGTGTTTCAAGGACTGCCGTGGCGATGACAGCAGTGGCGTCATGTCAGAGCCTCAGCTGAACGCTCTCTCGCGTGCCGTTCTTGACGGGAGGTTGCAGTGCACGGTCCTGTGTCTCCGCGGCGTGCTTCGGCCTGTGGGCATGATGGGACGTGCCGCCGTGCACCGGCAAGACTCAGCTGACTTAGTCTCGCTGCTGTCGCACATGCCGCAGCTCACATCTTTGGATCTCTCTGGCAACCGTTTGGGGTTCGCCAACACTTGCATAGAGGCGCTTGGCACAGCGATGCCGAACCTTCAAAAGCTCACTTACCTGAACCTCTCCTGCAATGGCTTTTTCTCCTTCCATGGGGGCTCTGGAATGCTGCCGCCCCATGTTTCTGCGCTCTTCGTTTCCCTGCTGAACTTGACCGCCTTGGAAGTTCTGGACCTGTCCTTGAATGACAAGGCCTTCGTCCGCGATTTCTGCAAAGAGAAGGAAGAGCTAGGATCCTCGTTTTTGCCGAGACTGCTGAAGGAGCTGCCGGCTTTGAAGAAGCTCCTCTTTGCTGCGAACGATGCCGGGTTGAGCACGGTAGAAGCCTTGGAGGCCACGAGACAGCCGGGGTGTGAGATCGACTATGGCTTGGAAGACCACGTCGCCAAGGCCCTTTACACGATTCAGGAGCTGCACCCCCAAAGTGCCAAACCATACCAGTTGATGTTCATGTGGGGTCTGAAGGCCAAAACTTTGCCAGGTCCACCCCAGAAGCTTTTCAAATTGGTGAGGAGCCTTGGGAAGAGGGCGTCTTCCGCCTGCCCCTGCTCGATTTGGAGCCGGTGCAGCGGTCGTGGCCGGTCCGCACGGCCTACTACTGGCACCTGGGCTGTGGCCTCGCTGCTGTCGAGGAGGCACAGTTGAAAGGTTTCCCGAAGCCCCGTCGTTGCAGTCGTTCTTTGCACGGTTTGTGTCTTCGCATGATGATGGAGACGAAGGAGAAGATGATGATTATCATGATGATGCGAAGAGTTTAGAGCGATGCGTAAAAGTCTGTCTGGTGCTCGCAGCATGACACGTAGCGCCTTGGTGCTTCAGGGTCTGCGGCGGCGCGTGGCTTCGGTGGACATCTCCGGGTTCAAGCTGGGGCGCTCCTGGCCCGGGCTGGTGAAGTGCGTTCTCGCGCCGCACTTCTCGGGGCTCCGTGAGCTGAACTTGCAGAAGACGAACGTTGCCATCGACTTCCTCACGGCTTTGCACCAGCCGGCCTTCGCGTCCCTGAGAAAGATCGACCTCGCAGGCTGTGGTTTGTGCCAGTTCACGGACTTGGGCGACGACGGGCCGCAGATTGCGCAAGCATTCTCGTTTTGGTCTGAGTCTTTGACTGACCTGGACCTCTCCAACAACTTCATAAGCGAGTATGGGGATTTTTCCCCTGGCCACTTGGAACACAACCTGCCTCCCCTAGTTCGCAGCCTGAAGCGCTTGAAGAGATTGGCTCTGCGTGACAACGATATCGGCGGCCCGGACGAGCGTACAAGGTCTTTGATTCTGGATGCCTTCGACATCGAAGCATTCCAAGCGGCATGCCTGGAAGAGCTTGACCTGCAGAGGAATCCTCTGGAGTCTCCTGACTGGGACGAGCTGCTCGACCGCCTGCGAGCGGTGGTGCCGCAGGTCCACCTGGGCAGCGGCAAAGGCAAGGGCGGCGAGGGCGGCAAGGGCGGCAAGGGCGGGGGTGACAAGGGAGGCGGTGGAAAGAGCGGCGGCAAGCCGAAAGGCGGCAAACAGAGTTCCGATTAGAGCCGGTCAAACTGCGATTGCACAGAGAGCTCGCAAGCGCCTGCGATTCAGACTCTTGGGCCGTGGTTAGGGGTCCGGGGATTAACGGAGCACACCTTAAAGTGTTTGGTGCCCTAGGGCCCTAGGGTTCAAACACCCACTTTGCAGGCAGACAGAAGCTGCTCCGGTGGAGGACGGGACATCCGAGGCGCTGTTCTGGGAATTCGTAGTCCCGAGGCGGAAGGCCCAAGCACAGCCAGACTGCTGAACGCTGCAGACAGAGCCCTTCCCCTCCTATTACGCCCGACGCAATGCGAAAGCTTTCGATACTGTATGTCCGGGAGTCCCAAGCCTTCATCACCAGAGGCCTGGATCCGGATGCCCGCTGGCGGCCCAAAGCACAAAGGCCTGGATTCCAAAACTCGTGGCTCTCAAATCCTCGAAGAAGGAAGCCGAGGACTATAAACTGCCTCAGACCATAACCCTGAAGCGTCAACCTCAGGTTCTCGACCCTAAGCTGCGCGGCGTGTATACGCTTGTAGTTCCTCATTCAGGGTCGGGATTGTTGGATTGACAACCAGCGCCTGATCCATGTTCCGAGTTGATATAGCTCATCGTCATTATTCGCTCGCTGCATCCCCTCGCAGCACATAGTCATGTTGCCAGCGAGTCTTGCAGCGCCGTCAGTATGCCGACATGTTCTGAAGCTGCTTCCCAAAAGCCCATTCGCACCGACGCTCTGGGACGCCAATGTCTGAGCCTTGCACATCAAACCCTGGGCCAGGCCCTGGACTTCAATTCCTCTTAGGGTGACGCGAAGCAACTTGCAAGCCTTGCGATTCCTGCGGCAGGCTGAACGTGAGCAGCAAGACTTCCCGAAGATTTCTAGGGCGCGAGCCCAATGCTTTGGCAGGGGGTTCCTCATGCTCCAAGGACCTTTTGGCGCCACAGGTCTTCAGAGGATACATTTCTGGGCTGGGGCTTGGGAGGTTCTGGATCAAGCAGATGGATCCCAATCCTTGTGCTGGTTCAAGAGCCTTCGGGTCCGGTGTTCCTTGAGCCGGGCGTGGGGCTTCCTCACTGCTTTGCCTCATGATGTGACCGATAGACCTAGAAAGGTCGGGGATGAGCTTGGCCTTCCTGGTTCTGAGCCCCTTGGGGGTCTGAGTGGCTCAAAACAGAAATTTCGGAGTTGTAGAGAGGCTCCGACTCTGTTAGATCCACCAGGCCTCTTCTCTTACCTCGGCGAAGAGCGTCGAACACTGGTGTGCAAACATTGATGCGCAGGTCACATGCAAATCTGAAGTTTTTCTCAGACCTCCTTGGGTCCATCCAATATGGGTTCCGACTGCCTGCGCCACGACGCAGAAGGAAAGGAATTCCCCATATCAGAAACCCTGGACCGCCTGCGTCAGACTTGAAAAAGTGTCCAGGCTGTTGAATTGAATCTGCGTGTGGGCAAGGGCACGCCCATTAGAAGAGCACTCGAATTTGCTTCGCCTCGGCGCTTCCGTCCTAGACTTTCAGCAGGTGCACATTTACGAGTACAAAGCTCTGTGTTTTGCCGGGGTTGTAACCTGTGGTTAAGTGCGAGATGATCGAACATAGTGGCTTGACACGGACTATTGTAGAGGGAGTATCTGCGTTTGAAAGCATCATACAGCTACATTCGCCGCCCAGAGTTGCATTGCTGCTAAGACACGTCAGCGACTCTGCATCTGGTTTTGAATGAAGCTGTTCCATTCTAGGCTTGTGCAGCTCGTTGAAACGCACTTCTGCATGTCTAGCATGCAATGCATTGCTCGACATGTAAAGGAAACGAAAAGTGAACTTTGGGATTTAACGGGTCTTATAATGGCTCATCCTGTCACCGCAGTGACCACGTTCGAGCTCCAAGCTGGTCTCGGTCGTCGGATTGGGGCGGTTTCGGCTCAGTGCCTTGCCCTGCCCTCCACACGACACGCAGACGATCAACAGGCAGGACAGAATGGTTCCCGACTCAGAGCCGAAGCTGCTGGCTTTGGGGGTCTTTCTCACCTCTGGGGTTCGGGTCCTCAAGTTCCACAGCTTTCTGCTCTCTGAAAGGATCAGGGCATGCATGTGCAACACAAGGCACCGGCCACGCAGAGAGCTGCCGCCCTCGCCGGCTGCGCCGCGGCCGGGGGGCTCGCGAAAGAAAACCCAAGATTCTTTGTTTGGTGTGCTTTTGGGCCACACATTTGTCAGGGTTTTCCTACCAGTGCGCACGAGGGTTCGTAATCCCAAGCCAGATTGCAGCCACCCCAAACTGACATCTTATGACAGTCCGGGTCTTGCGCTGGGTGATGAGGATTGTCGCGATGACGGTCATGGTGATGATGGTGATGACCGTAGGACAAACGGCCTCTTGCTGCAGGTCGCAGGAACCGCTTTCGTTGCGCTGCCAGCCACTGGTCTCACAAAGGGAGAGTGTCAGCGGTGTTTCTGTCAAGGGGATCGGTCGGGTTGTCGCCTGGGGAGTACAGTGCTGTCGACGTTTGCTAGCTGCAGTTAACAATAATGTTGAAGTTGCTGTTGATGCTGCTACTTCTACTACATTTACTATTCCAACTGCTATTGCTAGCTGCCACTGCTGCTACTGCTGCTGCTGCGACTACTACTACCACAACTACTACTACTACTACTAGTTCTGCTACTACTACCACGACTACCATTATTATTATTATTACTACTAGTACTAGTACTAGTACTAGTACTAGTACTAGTACTAGTACTAGTACTAGTACTAGTACTAGTACTAGTACTCCAATCCAAACCCGCGATGCCCCCTTCAATGCTTTTCCGGGTGCCGCCGCGAGCCAAAAGCCAGCTGACCCTGCAGCTGCCCAACCAGAAGAGAAGATCCCACTGACTCTGGCCCCAGGCGCATCCTTCGCGGAAGGCCTCGTGGATGTTCCCTCCTCTCGAGCTGAGGTCAAGTACCAAGGTCCGGTTACCACGACGCGGTTGGTGGACTACAGCGAGAATCCCTCCCCAGAGCAGGAGGCCAGCCAGATGCCGAAACGGGATCAAAGTGTGCAAATTTGCCAATCTGATCAAATGTTGGAGTGGGTCCATGCCTTTGCGACCATTTCCATCATGAGGGAGCAGGCAATCACCGGCGGCCTGTCTGCCTCCGAACAGGTTATCCTGTGGATCAATCGGTTCGGAGCTCTGGGGCGGGTCCCCTGGATCTTCGCCCCGATCTTGAAGGTCGCCACCGACAAAGATGCTACATGGATGGACATTACACAGGCGAAGCTCATGGTTGGGGCCAATGGCCAATTCACGCTCTCCATTGGGCTGAACAACCGCTACACGGAGCTCAAGTCCACCACTGCGTACTATGGCATAGCGCACACCCTATTCCAGAAGATGTGGGACCATGAGGACATGAGCACCTTGCTCGAGACGGACGAGAACTTTGAAGTTGTGGCCTCCACCTTCAAGTGCATGTACGACCAGACCTCCAGGAAAAGTGGCGGCCAGAACAGAGCCATCTTCTACCAGCCTCGAGATGGAAGGGTAGTTCGCAAGCTCCGGATCGAGCACAATAAAGGTGAAACTGGCACCACCAAAAGGAGCAGCGCGACAAGCGCTCGGGTGAGGAGCCATCAGCTCGCACCGACAAGCGCCACCGCGATGGCGAATCCTGGACCAGTGGCAGCTGGTGGCACCGAAGCTCCGTTTCTTCCAAGGCAGACTGATGGCCTTTCTGCATGGAGCCGTCGCCGTCAGTCCAGAAAACAGAAAAGAGCCGATAGTCAGCACTGCAGCCTCCTGCCTGCACCCAGATGGCTGTACCTCCGCGAGCATCATGCACTGTCTCTTCTTTTCAGGCACAACAGAAGCGGTGCTCAACATCACGTTGACGACTGCACGACTTGCCGCTGATTCCTGCCAATCAGAATAGGGCAATGCATGCCGCAGTCCCTCCTTCCCATAACAGCTTATCATGTTAGGGCTTCTCAGACCACAGGGTCAATGAGTCAGTTTCACACCCAAGTGAGTGCATCGCGGCAAACGCCCGCAATGTGCTGAGCCCGCTCGCACAGCGTCCAATTGAAATAGGAGTAGTAGTAGTAGTAGTAGTAGTAGTAGTAGTAGTAGTAGTAGTAGTAGTAGCAGTAGCAGTAGCAGTAGTAGTAGTAGAAGTAGTAGTAGTAGTAGTAGTAGTAGTAGTAGTGGCGCTGCTACTACGACTACTACTACTACTACTACTACTACTACAACTACTACTATTACTACTACTGCTCTACTATTGCTTCTATGCTGTTGCTACTACTTATGTACCACCGCCACCGCCACCGCCAGCACGCCCACCACCACCGCCGCCACTGCCACCACCACCACCCCACCCGCCACCACCGCCACATTGCTACCAGCGCTACCTCCACCACTACCGGTACCAGCGCCACCGCCCCCACCGCCACCGTCACCACATTGTCACCACCACCCCTATACGGACCGCCACTTGTTAGTGCTACTGCTATATACGATGCCGTGACGAGGGCAACGACGACTACTACAAGGACTGCTGCTACTACTTGCTTGTAGGTTAGATTCGGTTAGATCGCACCAGCATGGGATGCTGGTGCTGCCAGATGAGGTAGAAGTTCGGAAAATCGAAGTAGGTTGCTGCACCTCTTCGTTCGTGAGGCCCTGCGACTAGGAAGTGTCGATAAGCACAGCTATAAAGCCACATCAGTGCTTGAAGTGTCTGCACCCGAGGTCCTAAGCCCTGTAAACCTTCACCTACCAGCTAAACCCCAACCCCAAGAAGAACAACAGTCTCTGCACCCGCGAAAGCCCAGGCCTCCCAGAGTGAGCGAACAGCAGCTCCAGCCCTGCGCGGGCAGAGCGCCACGGCCAGCCCAGTTCGTTTGCTGCACCTCTAGTACTCCAGTATCAGGGGTTTCAGTATGTTGAGGTCCTTAAAGATTGAGGAGTTCTGATCTTCGACGTCATTTAGTTGTTGGTCGTAGAAGTGTATGCTGGGTACA